AAGTTGCCATTTTCAAACGAAAGATAATACCGTTAAATATTTCCGAATCCTTCCGTGTTACCCCTAGAGAAATGGACTTAATTTGGATTTTGGTATCTCTCGCTTGATTTTTAAATCACAGCAGATTGAAATGATATACACGTCAGCATTCAAGCCAGACGGCTCAAGTAGACAAGGAGATCGCCTTCTTCGTGGTGGCATCACGCCCACAGGCGTCTCTGGGTTACCTTCTCCAGGTAGAAAACAGGGTGTTACAAACGCGAAGTGAACTGCGTAGCCTTCTGTTTTTATTTTTCAAGAAACGTGTGAACACCAGCAACTGGCCTTCCCATGGCCTCCTCTGAATGGAGCTTTTCCATGTCACTGAGATGGGTGATGACTAATGTCGTACTTTCATAAGAAATGAGCATTTCTTTGCAAAGCAAAGCCGGAGCCCTCAAATTTCTGTGAATCAGCAATGCAACAACGGGAAACATGCCTGCTCTAGGGGGGTTCAGAGCACTGGGGCACCAAGCAACTGCATTTTGTATTGTTTCCCTTGGTTACAATCGCATGCTTGACTGATAATTTGGAAAAAGGGCTGTTTGATATGTTAGCATCCTGCTTTCCTGCCGTCCCCCAATCGGCTGAGGTTGGCTAAGGAGGTCTTGGGCCTGTGAGACAAAACACACCATCTCTGTGTCCATTTAACACCTGGCGCGTTGGGACTGAAATACTACATTGCTACAGGTCTCTTCTGGTCCTTGTCACAGGCCCAGGTTGAGCAAACTTGATGAAGAAGAAATTGCCGGAACAAACTTGCGTAGCTCAGCACTGCTTTTAAGGAGCTGTGGGAAGGGACAGCCTTTTCCTCCCACACTGGTGGGTCACACGCCCAAAGTGGGAACTTTGCAGCAGAGAGAGGGTTCAGTTGAAAATAGGATTTGAACGCTGCTATCGTTATAAAAATTTAGTCTTTAATACTCAAATGAAGTCATTTATTGCTTAATGTTTTTCATTTTAAAAATATGCTTTTACCTGGCTACCCCAGGATGTATCACATATAGGTCCACAAACACTAATTTAATGTTACTAAGAATTGAGTCTGTTTCTTGTGTGTTGTGCACCTTTCATATTCTCCTTCCAAACCTTCTGCACAAAGGGCATTGCCCCAGGAGGCTTTGTGCCCTGCCAGAGCCCCAGCTTGTCCTGAAGGATCCTGTGTGCGTAGTGCCCCCTTCGGAAACAGCCCGTATATTAATAATGTCTGTTAAGCAGAATATCACAGAATTCCCCAACCCTTGCCCCCAATAGAGTTACTGCTTTTTGAAGAAAATTTTTAATGTAAGCTCTGGAATTTTAGGCCCCACGAAATGTCTCAGTCTATAAATCTTGAATGTGGCAGAATGGACACAGTGCTCGTGTTGGAACAGGAATATATGTTGTTCTTGTGGAAACAGTGAGCATCCATGTTGCTGCGGGAGTGTGGGGCTGTCTTTGATAAAGTGCTGTTTCAGCCACAGGATGCAAATACCAACACTCTTTTCTCTCTCTTTCTCAGTGTGGCAGTCACCAGGTCCAGAGATGTGCCTTCCTTTGGGCCACCCATCCCCAAAGGAGTCACGTTCCCTAAATCAAATGTATTCAGGGACTTCCTTTTGGCCAAAGTGATTAATGCAGAAAACGCGGCTCATAAATCTGAAAAGTTCCGGGCCATGGCAACCCGGACCCGCCAGGAATACCTGAAAGACCTGGCAGAAAAGAATGTCACCAACACCCCCATCGATCCTTCTGGCAAGTTCCCGTTCATCTCTTTGGCCTCTAAGAAGAAGGAAAAGTCCAAGCCGTATCCAGGAGCTGAGCTCAGTAGCATGGGTGCCCTTGTGTGGGCAGTCCGGGCCAAAGACTACAACCAGGCGATGGAAATAGACTGTCTCTTGGGAATCTCCAATGAGTTCATTGTTCTCATCGAGCAGGAAACAAAGAGCGTGGTTTTCAACTGCTCCTGCCGAGATGTGATAGGATGGACCTCCACCGACGCCAGCCTCAAAATCTTCTACGAGCGAGGAGAATGTGTTTCCATGGAGAGTTTCCTCAGCAACGAGGATATCAAAGAGATTGTCAAGCGGTTACAGGTGAGCCTGGTCCCTTTTACCCTGGGACCTCCAGCTTCTTGATCATCAAGTCACCCATGCAGACCAGGGCCAGGTTTCCCTCACCTGACTGCTTTCTTCATTTTGTCTGAGCCCGCTGGAATGGAGCATGTGGGGACAGACCCACTTGCTAGTTGTTCCGTTTGCGTGTGACAGGACTCCACCCCAGCTCTGGACGCAGCAGGTTTTTCCTTGGGCCGGGTGGGTGGATGGCCATGAAGGTTGGGTAGCTGGCCTGCTCCACAGCGAGCAGTAGCCCCGTTTGCAGTTTCCGGCATGCATGTCCACTACTAAATACCCCTGTT